ATAACCTGTAAGAAATTGGTAGTAGTGTTGCTGCACTTGTTGCAGAAGATGTAGAAGTAAAAGTGATATATATATTAAGCATTAACTTTCCTCGTTCGTTAATACCTACACATGCACGCGAATCCGACTGCAACTATACCATCTATAGTTCATGTCTATCCCGCTCCGTCCCATCTGTTACGACATCGACAAGACGATGTGGTAATCTCGTCGCCTCATCACATATGTCGCAACATCCTGGTGGTCCGACGTGGCGATATCGTCGCCTCGTCCCATCTGTCAGCACATCAAGTCTGTTTATCCAATCAGGTACGGTTGTTACTTACCGCGTGACAGGGTATTGCCCTGACCTTCACGACCTGTCAACTTCAATAGCTTCTAACAGAAAGTGGCTTGACAATAGCTTTGTCGAGCAACAAGTTAGTTCAAAGTAGGTAGTACCATTAGTGTAGAACTCAGAGAAGAGAACTACAAGCACTGCACAAGGCCCATTGAGTGCAGAATAAAAGCCTTTTTTTGCTACGCATTGAATGAATGGTTTGCCTCTAACCTGAAGCACTACTAAATTGAACGCTTGGGTTCGCCTTGCCAGCAGTAATTCCACGGATAATATTTACATCACTTTATGAAGTACCACAGGATCGTCGTCATTGTTTTTACAAAAATCGCCGTCCTTTCGTTTGCTTCAAAAGCTGTACAACTACTGTAGTGTGTTATATTATTCTCTTTACTTTTTAAATTAGGCGACTAACACGGAGATTACCTAAAGCTTTTCAACTTGGGGTTTGTACAAGATCCCATTAGCCTTATGGATAAATCTGACTTGACCCCGTATCTTTAACTCACCTGATTAGTTTCTGCTCCTCCATACAACTCTAATGAAAGAACACTACACAACACGAAGCAACGACATGCATATTTTTGCTACTATGACGACGGATGACTGTTTTGTAACGTCTGCTGATCATGCTGTGACTGTGGTGAATATGTCCGCGGAGAGTGAAACTGTAAGCCCGACTGCCTGCTGTTTCTTACGGTCGCGTGGTCGGCAAGATGTCACCACCTCCGTTCGAGCGTGTCGTTGTATACGCGAATCCAGCGAGGATCTCTTTTCCATCACTTAAACACGGATACTGCTGCAGACAACAGGTCTGATAAAATGGAACAGGAGTATTGGCCCATTGTGGACAAAAGTTGCAGCGGAATGGATCAAAAGCTGGTATGTACAGAGGAAAGTGTCAATTGAAAGCCTCTGCAGCGTATTCTGGCAGTGGTTGATTCAGCATTTTTTACGTGTCAATCGGCACACCACTCACTACACCTACGGCTAAAAAAAGGTAATGCTTTCTGCATTAGACTTGTTCTGCCAGTGCGCTAGGTTGACTCTAGAATTGTGCAACAATGGTGGTAGTCGATACATTGCCTCACTTCCCTCGGTCGCATTTCCACTGTACCGGTTCTCTTCATTATCTAAAAAGACTCGGTAGACGAAAGTTGGTACTGCCCGAGACACATTTAAGCCCCCGAGTCTTTCCAACCGAAATTTAGCATCTTGAGTCAACTCCTGACGGACTCTGAGTACTAGATCATCATTTGGTCTTGTGTAATAACTTTGGAGTACCGGAAGAACTTTTTCACTGTCATCAGACCACAAAGCATCTTCAATTGTGTGTGGAACCCATTGCCTCGACCTCAGTCGGGTCTCAATGTCATTGACCTTAAGACCTGTTGGATTCTGGACGTACTGACTGTCTTTAATTTTAGCGCTACCCAAATCCAGCGTCTTACAGTCCAACTCTTGGGTACCTCTGGTTTCCACCCGCTTTAGACTTTGCCGCCTTATCCTCGCATGCATTTGTGCCTCAAAGACATTTCTCTTGGTTTGTTCTATCTCTTGGTGTTTCCATTGTCGCCTTTTCTTAATCATTTTTTTCGGTGCTAGGAAAGCAAACGCCTCCCTTTGTTCGAAGTAATTGAACGCCAGTTTTCTTAATTTCTTTAAAAGACAAAACGTTGGTCGCTGTGGCAATAAGTGCATGTGTTTAAATCGACTGGCAAACCATTTTCATATTAAGAGATGGTGCTTGTAGGATTGCGTCATCTTTCTGATAATGCATGCGGGTAGAAGAGGTCGTTGGCATTTTTAAAAAAATCCTTTAAAGCAACTTCTCTTCAACACAGTCTGGTTGAACCGTGTGGTGCACATCATCTAAACCTAATTTTATCTTCCACATCATCGAAAAAAAATCCAGAGTGCGCACGTCGCATATCGAAGCTGGTCTGACTCCACATTGAGACTATTCACCGGAATCTGCTTCATATCAAAGTCTCTAATATTTTTTCATTCCTGAATTGCTGACAAGTCCCACAGTACAAAAGCTTCTAAGCTTTATCTACTGTAATGTGTATCCCCATTTGCCTTCCGTGTGACGGTGGCGATCTCTGTTGCTGTCTCTGTGGCTCGCTCAGCGCGTGCTGCTGCTGTGGTGGTAACAACAACGACCGTCGCTACGACAACCGACGTCCTCCTCCACCACAGCGTGTCGTCTACGTGCAACCAGTTGCAGTTCAAAATGGCTCGCGTCATTACCACGGTCACTACTAGGGTGATTACTATCCGTAGACCAGGAAGACCAAGAAAACGGTCTTGCAATGACGTTGCAAGCCGAGCGACAACACGGAAGTAGTCATTAAAAGTTCATTTTCGGGCTTTTAAAACAGAATGTATGATAAAAAGTGTAAAGATAAACAAGCCATTGTTCTGATTGCTACAGCAACTTCCTACCAGGTGCTTTCCATTCGAACAGAAATTTGATTTCAGGCTAATGGCCAACACAAATTCGACCTTATAGTAATGTAAGGTTGTGCTAAAACTCTCGTGTTGTAAACGCGGTTCATACGTTTCTGAAGACGTCGGCGCAACATTTTGTCCGTCGCGTTCTTTAAGACCGACTCAATGAACTGCACCTCGCACACCTTTTTACAAGAAGCTACATATTCAGCAACGTAGTTCATGTTGTTTTAAGGCGTCGGGCAGTCCGGATTATTCAGGTATTTCAACATCACAAAAGCCTTTAGGATATCTTCACCTATCGTGTTTTTGTCCGCGCACGCAACAACAGTCAGTGACAGCAGGGTGGTGGTTGAGCACGTCTTCCAGTCCGCGCAGTGCTACTTGATAATTCTTGTATTTAATGAGCTCTTTGGCGCGGTCTATGACGAATACGAACCCGTCCTCATCGATGTAGCCAATATTCTTCGTACAAAGAAATCAGTCCTTAGCGAGAATATTCTGGTTGGCCTCATGATTGTTTTCGTAGCCCAACACCTGTGGCCTACGGTATAGCAGCTCACCCTCCCGATTTGCTGGTAAACTTCGACCTGTCGTCGTGCAGCAAACACGAAGCTCCGTATTTGGCACCAGACACCCCACACTCCCCAGCTTGCCACAATTAGCGCGATCAATTAGCTTCAAATCAAAAAAGCGATATGTAAACTGATCCAAACCGGCTCGCGCGTGTAGTCTATAAAGCAGTTGACCGCAGGTGACAGATCGGTCATGCCGTAGATCTGCTTTACATACAGTCCCAGACGCTTGTGCACAAGACTTTTAACTAGTTTGCCGATCGGGGCACCACCAGATGCGACAACTTCGTCGATAAGAGGTCAGACTCATTTACCAGAGGATGATGCGCTAAAAACAGCACTGCAGGCGGCGCAACATGAGCTGAGCAAATCTACAGCAACAATTGTTGTAAGTAGGCACTAAACTCGTATTGTACATGCTGACGGTCACTTCATACGTAGCCAACGCGTCGAGAAATGTGTCAGGCATAAATCGCGGCAAAACAACATAACTTTTTGCTGAAAAATGCTGAGGTGACTGAGCATCATGCCATGAATGTGGAAGAATGGCACGAGGCCAAGAAAGATCTTCCCGTCTGGGTCGATGCCTTCGTAAAGAAATCCTGCTCGGTTTAAGCTGCCATCTCACTACAACAAGATTAAACAGTCAGTGTACAGACCAACTTGGCTAAAAATCTCACTTGACACTCGCGAGGTCGAACATTTCGATCGCGTTCGTCGTCCCTATCGTGAACGTAATTGCATCGCTTAACCCTGCGTTTAACGCAGCTTCGACAGCTACGTTTTCAGCTGCTAATGGATCATAAAAATCAGCCTTGGCTTGTGTGAGCTGATATGACAACTCATTAGGCACGACCAAAGATGACGCTGAACATCATATAGATAAAGTTGCGACTACGACCCTAAAGCAATACTGCCTTAACTGATACCTGTATCAATTGATAGATGCCTCCGTTAGACAACTTTTTGTGTAGCAGTATATGAAACACTATATTACAGTAGGCTATTCTTCATCGGATTCCAGTTTTTTGCCAATATTACGCAAATAAACGTGGTACAGCTAATCATTAGGCTTGTGACAATTTTATTAGAGTACTATATATATTTAGACACCTCTAAAAAAGTGGCTTTTATCGGTGGTTTTAAGTATAAATAGTTTTTTGGATTTTCGACTATTGTGGTTGGTAGCGCTCTAATTTGTAGCAGCAGTATTGCCTTTCCTTACCATTGTGCAATTTTTTTTTGTTTCAAGATTTGTATCTGGTATTTGGGCAAATTCTCAAACTGATGTCCTGAGCTGTATAAAACAACAAGGTCAATATGAGTGTAGTCTATTTAATTCAAATGTTAAAATACTTGCATTAATAACAAGTATTGTGGTATTCTATCATCAGTCATTTCCTTTTGTTAACAAGGCATTTATGCAGACTACGCTAACAATTATTTACGGCCGCTACATTTCACTCCGTTTAGCAATTTTACTAATAAGCGCACCACGAAATGTATCTTAATAATACGATTAAATTGGTTGTAAAAGATAAAAACATACTTAAAAAGCCTTAATTTTCACTCAAGTCAGATTTCTCAGATCCAGACTCAGATTCATCAGAGCGAAAGTCTTTAAAAAAACTCAAATGACAGACGTGAACGAGTGGCAAGTGCTGAAGTTTCAGCCATGGAATAGCGCACCTGATGTATCTTTCTGGCAAACTTTTGCATCACTAAAGCTGAATAAATTTCAGCTTGACGACCAAGCGCAGGTAAAAACGCCTTAACTTATAAAGTAACATCCAAATCTCTCTAAAGTTTTTCGCAGGAAATAACGGGATATTTTACTACTGGGAGGTCGGTGGACGTCCCCGCACGTTTCACCGTTGATGACGCGGCATTTCAAAGTGCCCATGGGACCCAAAAAAAAGACACGAGGTAGGGATTTTCTTGTAATCACTTTGCTTTTTATCAGATTTTTGTTTTTTTTTACTTCTGAGTCCTTATACAGGGATACGGATCGTGCTCGATATGAATGGCAAGCTCCTGGACTACTATTCAACACTAATACTTTAGAAGTAATGTTATGGGTGGTCCGAAAAAGGTGTATGTATGATATGAAGTCTTATTGTATGTACTTGAACTGTATACATGACAGGCTTTTAAGAAACTGGACAAAACTACGTTACTTCGAAATGCTGGAGAAAAGATCTTGGATCTGATTCTTAAAAGTGATGAAGAGAACATTGCGGTGGACCATTTGAATAGCTTCGTGCTCGTGACTTATGCCGATTTAAAAAAACACTCGTTCCTGTATTGGTTCGGATTTCCGGCGTTGTCCCCACCGACGTCGTTTCAATATCGAGTTCCACCTGCATCAGTATCCTCGATTTTGTCCGCCAAGGAACAGGCTCATGTACTTCGTGGTCTGCTAAAGTTGCGTCGTGTGAGCAGTGAGACAGGTGCAGTGAAAGGCAACTTTGCACCATTTTTCGTTGTGGAGCGTCTAAATGGAGGTGCAAACAGCGACCACGTTGTGAGAGTTTTGGATGTTCACGAGTGGAGGGCACTACATCACACTCCGGATGACGTGAATGAGACAATCTTTGGTTTTGTTGACCCTTGCCCTCTAAAGACTAATCCTGGATGGCCTCTGCGTAACTTCTTGGCGCTGCTTACTGCGTTACCAGCTGAGAAAGCAAAGTGCTCAAGATCCATAAAAATCATCTCTTTTCGTGAGCATGTGCATCAGTTCACTACAGTGCCTAACGACTTTGAATGGAAAAGGTCGGTGGTATTTGAGGTGAGAAGCGATCAGACGTTCATGGCAAACGGCCGGCTACGGCAAGATGTGCGCGTTATAGGTTGGGAAGCCAACGTTCATGGCAAAATGGGCCCGCGAGTGATGAAGCTTGGCGGTATCTTGGATCCCATTCGGCTTGCGGAGACGTCGGTGGACTTGAACTTGAAACTCATGAGATGGCGCCAGCTTCCGTCTCTCGACTTAGACCTGCTTGCACGGACTAAGTGTCTGCTACTCGGAGCGGGGACTCTTGGTTGTTATACGGCTCGAAGCTTGCTTTCGTGGGGTTTTCGCAACATCACTTTTGTCGACAATTCCACGGTGAGCCATTCTAATCCCGTGCGGCAACCTTTGTTCGAGTTTCAAGACGTTGGAAAGCCTAAAGGCGAGTGCGCAGCAAACGCGTTAAAGCGTATATATCCGCTTGTGAATTCTCAGGCCTTGAATCTTACGATTCCAATGGCAGGCCACGCATTAAGCAGTCCACAGTTAATGGAGGACGCCAAAACAGGTTTAAAGACGCTGGAACAGCTTATTGAGTCACACGATGTCGTTTTCTTGGGAACGGATTCGCGTGAGAGTCGATGGTTGCCGACCGTGATCGCCTCGTCTAAGAGGAAGCTCCTTCTGAATGCAGCACTTGGTTTCGACAGCTATCTAGTGATGCGCCATGGTGTCCACCCTGAGCAGGTAAATGATGATGCAACTAAACCATCGCTAGGTTGCTACTACTGCAACGATATCGTGAGTCCTCGTGACTCACTGAAGGACCGTACGCTCGATCAAATGTGCACAGTGACTCGACCAGGACTTGCTCCAATTGCTGCAGCAACGGCAGTGGAACTACTCGTTGCTGTTTTGCATTCGCCTCAGAAAAAATATGTGGGTGCGGACAAACCAAGCGATGGTTCGGTCCCGATGGGCTTTATTCCGCACCAGCTTCGAGGGTTCTTGAATGCGTTTCAAACCATGGTGATAACAGGCGAAGCGTTTGACAAGTGCATTGCATGCAGTTCAAAAGTCCTGAACGCTTATGCTGCTGATGGTCTCGGTCTCCTTGAAAAGGCATGCAATTCTACTGCGTATCTCGAAGAGCTTACCGGCTTAAACCAATTAACAGAAGAGGCAGATTCACTCATTATTGACCTTGAAGACAGCGACGAAGACGGTGATATGATCTAAAGAGCTTCAGGACACCACCTTCTTATGGTCGTAAAATACCTTTTTCATACCGTTATCTTACTGGTATGACATGAGTTTACAAACTATTGTCAGATTTGTAGTTTTTTAATTCTAGCTGATTGGACCGCGACGTCCCATAAGCTCACAAGTTTCTTTGTTGGTCTCGCCCCCTCTCTATTCCCTACGCATTCCCCTCCCCATTTTACGCCAATATGTCTGCTACCCCCAACCCTGCTGATGATCAGGTCGAGCTCTTTAAAGTTAAGAAGCTTATCAAGTCTCTCCAAGCCGCTCGTGGGTGCGTGTTCTACCATCATTCTTTTTTCTATTTGGAATATGTATTTCTAAATCTGATTCCGACACTATTTTTTTAATGGAAATTACATATTTCTATTTTTATAGAAATGGCACAAGTATGATTTCCCTCATTATTCCACCTAAACAGCAAATTCCACTTGTAGCCAAAATGTTATCGGATGAAATGGGTACAGCGTCCAATATCAAGTCGCGTGTCAATCGTTTGTCCGTGTTGGGCGCTATTACGTCCACACAGCAACGTCTCAAGCTGTACAATAAATGTCCACCGAATGGACTTATCATCTATTGTGGTACTATTATCACGGATGAGGGCAAAGAGAAGCGCGTAAACATTGATTTTGAGCCTTTTCGCCCTATCAATACATCGCTCTACATGTGTGACAACAAGTTTCACACAGAGGCACTGGGAGAATTGCTTCAGGACAATGACCGCTTTGGTTTTATCGTCATGGACGGTAATGGAGCACTCTACGGTGCTGTGTCTGGCAGCAACCGGGAGGTTTTGCACAAATTCTCGGTGGATCTGCCAAAAAAACACGGTCGTGGTGGTCAATCGGCGCTGCGTTTTGCACGTTTACGTCTTGAAAAACGCCACAATTATGTGCGCAAGGTGGCCGAGACAGCCACACAAATGTTCATCACGAACGACCAGCCTAATGTCTCGAATCTCGTGCTGGCTGGTTCAGCTGATTTTAAGAACGAACTGAACGGCAGTGACCTGTTTGACAAGCGACTGGCGGCTGTTGTGGTCAAGGTCGTGGATGTGTCCTATGGTGGCGAGAATGGATTCAATCAGGCCATTGAGCTGGCTGCTGAGACGCTTACTAACGTCAAGTTTGTCCAGGAGAAGAAGCTCATTGTCAGCTACATGGAGGAGATTGCTCAGGACTCGGGCAAGTACTGCTTTGGTGTGGGTGACACGATGAAGGCACTTGACCTGGGTGCTGTGGAGACACTTATTCTATGGGAGGATCTGCCCCACCACCGCTATGTGCTCCGTAACGAAGCCACTGGATCTGAGTCGGTGAAGATTTTGTCACCGTCAGAGGAGACAGTGGACTCGAACTTCTTGGACTCTGAGACGGGAGCGAAGCTGGAAACTGTGGAGCGTATGCCTCTGGTCGAATGGTTTGCTAACAACTACAAGCAGTTCGGTACGACGTTGGAGTTCGTCACGGCTCGTTCGCAGGAAGGCTCGCAGTTTTGCCAGGGCTTCGGTGGCATTGGCGGTATTCTTCGGTGGAAGGTGGACTTTATGGAGATGGAGTACGAGTTTGACGACGATGATGACTTTGACGAGGACGCGTTCATGTAGAAGTAATTATTGCGTGACGCTTTGCGCTTAGTTAGAAAAGAGGCGTCACGCACCGTGGCGCTGCGGGAGGAACGAGCGCAACAAAGAAATGCATTTTAGGCAGCCGTCCAAGAAGGGGATGTCGCTATAGAATTTCGAGTAGGGAGGAGCAGTACGGCGACAAAATCGGATGAGTGTAGACACCTTTTGACGCGAGGAGTACACTACACATTCTATGCTGAGTGGTCTTGCGTGTTCGAGTGCGTGATTTGCCGTGTCACTAACATGTTGTGACGCTGTGTAGAGACACAAGCATCAGGACAACACGTAGCCAGATATGAAGAGACGCACAGTTATTTGTGAACACGATGGGCAATGAAGCAAATTGCGTAGTACAGACCCGTCAGAACGTGTGGAGAAATAGCAAACGACGCGAAGAAGACACGAGAACAGGATGCAGCAGTGTTTGCAGCAGACATTTCGCTTTCCTATGGCGTGACTGGGACTGCAGCAAATGTTGTTATCCGTCTTTGTGAAGTTTCATTCAGGCTCTGATCTCTTTTATTACTTGCAGGCTAGAAGACGAATGCTATTTGAGGAGACGACGACGACGATATCAGTGGACTGAAGTGTTTTGATAAGAAAAAACTTACGAAATTCAAAGCTGCGAGGTCGGAAGCTACGTCCTAGGCACACTACGTCACGGACTTTAGCGGGTCAATTCATGCCAGGGAGCTTCTAAAACTGCATACTTGCCTTGGCGAACAGCTTACATGTGTGAGTCAATTAAACTGTGGACACCGATGGGAATGACGCCGTAAATACTCGACGAGTTTCTGCATTTGTACGCACACAGCAGGACAAGAATCACTACTACATTGTCCAAGCAGTGTATGGTAGTGGGCTGATGACCAATACGAGCTTAAGGAGCTGGTGTAGAAGGGAAGTTGATGAGTCCGACTTGCAGCTGTGCTGCGTTGATGCCGATGGCAGCGGTCGATCATTTTCAACAAGTTTCGGTCCATCGTTGCTGCCATATAAATAAAGCGGCCACATTGAGCTTGCTATATAACTACGTTTGGGCATTGCGCAAAGGCTACTTGACGAACTCGCGTGGCTTGATGGACCTCATCGCCAAGCACAAGGGGCTTTATTTGAATAGCAACCGTTAAAGGCGAAAAAAGAAGTAGTGTCACCAGCAGCTTATGGGGGGGATGACCGCAAATGTGATTTCCAAGCACCAGGCCGAGCTCACTAGAAGGCTAATATTCGAGTTCAAAGGCATCGGTCGCAACTTTAGCCGTCGGTGAGCCTTCGACGAGAGCCGCAATTTCGGTGTCGTACAGTAGCACACACAACAGGTGCTGACTGAGCCGAGTCCTACGCTGGGGGTCGCAAAAGTTTTGAGTACATGGTCCCCCGCGTAGTTATGGGCGCGGAGTAATTTCCAGTCATCAGCGTTATCAACCAACGGCGCAAGCTTGGTTTGATGACTGCGATGCTGCGTGTTAGCGATCCATCGACCTGTCGATGCTTGTACGACAATTCTCGATTGTGTCAGCCGGGAGCTTGTCAAAAAACCTCTTCAGATCGGCCACAATGTTCGTAGCCATCTCTTTTTTTCACATACGTGCCATTTCTAGTACAGGTAAAGTCGACGCTTCGCCCAGCGTAGCGAGCCACAATGTGAGCTCATACGATCTCCTTACCAAACCGTGGGGGCTCGTGAAGAGGTCGTAAGCGACTATCGTAATCATTTTACCGTCGTACGTGGAGTCCATCGTACTAGGGAGTGACATGACATCTGAGCGTCGCCTTATAACACTTCAAGACCAGCGCCGCTCATATACGACTGCTAGTAATAGCTGGCCCACTCAAAACTCGACTTCCACGACACGGACAAGTTGATCCCGAGATCTTGTTGTTACTCATTTCCCACATATTGTTGTAGAAGGACGCCGTGTACATCCGTTTGTCGTAGGCACTAAACTTCCGGCGTTGGTCGACGAAAGCCGAGTGCTGCGGGCGAGGGCTATAGGGACTAGAATAAAATATCGGCTGGATTCGATCTTCAAACCACAAGCTAGTTTTATTTGAATGATACCGTTCCACACAATGTCATAGTGTTGACAGCAAAGCCATTCCTAGCTACTTAGGAAAACAATGGTCTATTATATACAAGTGCAGGCGTCTTTGGGTTGATCATAACAAAATCAAGGCTCTGGTTTGTGCGCGATAGTGCTCGTGCGCCATATCTCGAGCTAAATGAAACGCATGAAGCAGACACAAACATGGTGAATATTGGGGTTTTAACTCAAATCATGTGCCAATGCTTCGCTGACTCATCGTTTTGCGTATTGTTGTGCTGATTGGCGACATTCAAGGTTACAAAACAAAGTCGATGTGGTGGGAACAAATTGTCTATTTGCCGGTCCGGTTTACAAGATTTCTGAAAAATCCGCATACCTCAGGAGATGTCTACGAGGGCTGTGCAGTGCTGACTATCGGTTGACAATGATGTCTTGAAACATTTCCGTTGCAAGGCGGAGGTAGACGCCGTTGCTCACATCCCTATTTCTTCGTTGTTCCTTGATAGCGACCGCCCGGAGTTGACGAAGAAAAACTTGTTTCACTTCCGAGAATCTTTTTGTACTGAGTCAGGATCTCTTTCAGTTGGTTTTCAGACATACCATAGTACTGAAAGAACCTTTGAATGAGGGTAAAGTCAACCTTTATTCCCGCCAGATTAGAGAGATGGATCGGTTGGTACTTCTCATTCGTCTGAAATAACCGGAGCCATAAGCGGATTGATCCTTCTACCTTCTGCTCAATTTCCTTTGCCAATTCTATCTATCGGCTTCTCCCAAGCTTCAGCATTGTTAACCAACGCTTTAGCATCGTGTGATGGATTACGTTTTGCTGCTTCGTAGTCTTTAAACAAGTTAGTGTAGGAAACTTGTATCGAATAGATCTTCTCTTCGTCCTTTTCGTACGTCCATAACATCTTTCTGATATCATCGGGATTAATGTCTTTTGAAAGCCACTCCGCAAACTGGTCCCACTTGTCCTTCTCATTTGCCAGTAGCATTGCAATGCCATTTTTGAATTCATTCTCAGAAATTCCCATCCCTTTTAGCACACGGCTCTTATCTTCGGCAGCTTCATCATTTCTGAGTTTTCTGGTAGCACCGCGGATATAGGTCAATTTCATTGTGTCACTCGATTTGGACAACGCTTCGTTCCATGCACTAGTTATCTTACACAACCTGTCGTATGGATCTACAATCCAATCGATTTCGCCACCGCTCTCTATATACCTCGATTTCAAAACGCTAGGACTAGTTTCTTTTAGACGTAATTTCGCGAGCTCTTCCCATTTAAAATCCTCATCCGTTTGTACCAAATGAAACCAAATGTTGAATTGGTCATTAGGCATCGTCATCGGGCTTTTCCAATCGACAGCAGCTTTCTCAACTTTGGTAATTACGCCAGCTTTGACATCTTGGGTAACCCTGGCAAGTTCCGCAACGCTGGCAGCTTCGGCAACGCTGGTAGCTTCGGCAACGCTGGTAGCTTCGGCAACGCTGGTAGCTTCGGCAACGCTGGTAACTTCGGCAGCGCTGGCAGCTTCGGCAACTCTAGCAGCTTCGGCAACTCTAGCAGCTTCAGCTTTAGCAGCTTCAGCTTTAGCAGCTTCAGCTTTAGCAACTCTAGTAGCTTGGGCAGCCTTGTGGGCAGCTGTCCATGGGAGAAACTTCAGCACTGAGTCAAAGTTGAAAGACCGACCCCTCTCTTCTTGGATATCACTTTCACCGTCAACACGCAAAGCTTGAATGTCGTCGTTCGTGTCGTCACCGATGAGCGAGTGTGGATTCGAGAGCAAGTAATTCGTCGGCGTCGAGGATGCGCCACTGTTAAGAAGAATTTTGGTAACAAGAACCATTGACAGGATATCAAACGCACGCATGAATAACTCGTAATCAGCGAAGAGCGTCAAAAATCACTTTGGGGCTTCAGAAATATTTAAGAATGAGTCCAAATGAGTGAACGAAAGACGTGGATAGAGCATGTCAGTGGATAATGCCAGCTAACTTTAACGTTGTTCATGAGATTTGAATCCGGATCTTCTGAAAAGAGGAAGTAATCAGTACATGAGAGAGTGCTTCACAACTCAACAGCCAAAATTTAGGGGTACCATAATCAAAGTCCGAACATAACTATCTTACTTAGATGGATCGAGGAAAATAATATCCAGCTAGATAGCATTTGGTGCTCTAAGAAGAAGAATGAAATGAATTATAGATTATGAAATACGTACGACACCGCGACTGGCCTCTCCCATTTAAAAAACAGTGACAACTCCCCACGTCCTATAGTATAGCGACAAGTGGGACTATTATGTCCAACGCAATGGTCTTTCCCGCACCAGATCTATGATCGTGTGCTCGCTTCACAGGCATGTTGTTAATTTAGTAGAGAAATGCAGTATAGCCGGACAATCTCCAGAGCATCACCGCTGGTGGCATTGCAACTGGACGCTCCGGTTAAAAAAGTAGTGACGAGAGAGGAGTTCAGATGGTCTATTGACACGGTGTCAACTAATTTGCAAGATTTCTGAAAAAGTCCTGAGCCAGGATGTCAGCGCCAGTTGGCTCGGCGGTATATCGTGGCCGACGACCGTAAAATCTGGTGGCCCTCTATGGTCGCGCTCTAGCAACTCGATACAAGCATAAAGCAAGGCACCACCATGTGTGGCTGACGCTATTTTATGCTCTCTCTTTGCGATTGCTCGGAGCTGACAAAGGCACGAGGCCCAAAAAACAGGTGATGCTGCGAGGAAGGTGGAGTGTGACAGCCGTGTAGACGATTGCGTTTCTGTCTACCGAAATTCGTATTTGACATGTCGTCGAGGACGTGCCAAATTTGTGTCCAGACGCGTTCGGCTGCACCCACGTCATCCTGAAAACGATCCGCTAGAATTTGTGCTCGAAAAAACTCGGGTATGCGTCAACTCGTCGACTGGCCCGGGCCCCCCAGCAGTATTGAGTCAATTGACAGATGACTCGCTGCTCAATCCAGTGACCAATGGTGCTTCGGCGCAAGCACATTGTCAAACAGATGGACCATGGTCTCCTCATTGCCGCTGCAGGCCGGTATCTTTCTGTGACTATTGTTTTCGTTCCTTGTAGCGTGATACAAATTTAATTGTCTCGTCATCACCCGGTACCATGTCCAAGCTTGATATACTCTGAGACCATTACTACATGCGTCGGCGTTTCCCGAAGGCGCTACGCATTGCCATTCTGCAGATTGCGAAAGGCGACCAACGAGAACCGAAAGTGACGGGCGCGAACATTTTGTGGAACCATGAGCTTGCTTGCGTAAAGCCTTCGTGATGAAGTGATTAGACATTGTATTGGCATAGACCATGGGAAATGATGAAGCTGCGGGTTTGTCTCTTTAAAAAAAGATCCCATCGTCGAATATCGCCTGTCGTTCAGATGGAGAACAGTCAGTGAGCTCCGGCATCAATCCGTGGCAAATCAGTGTATTCCGTCATCAGGATAGAGTGACGGACCGGATCTGGCCATGTTCGATCTCCGTTGAGTGGCTTTGGATAATGCCTTTGCCGAGAAGCTTCCAGCGATAGCTTTTTGAACTTGGTGGTGCCTGACTAAAGCGCAGTGGTGTTGTTTTAAGTGCAATTCTTTCCCCATGGGTAAGTCCGGGTATAATAGAAGGAGGGCTGTTGCCCACCGTCGGAATTTGCGTCCGAATGGGGGTCGAGCGTGGCTTTACGAGGTCATCTGATTTTGTTGGTCTCTTGTTGGGGCGAGCGCTCTTGCTGGATCTCCTGACCTGGCGAGCGTTCCCGACGAGACGATGCCATCAGTTTATCCTGAGCTGAAGTCACTATTGTTGCGTCCGGGCCCCTAACTGCTTTACAAAGACCTCGTCTGCCATGTAGCAAAGTGGGTATCCGATTTCACAATTAGCCAAGCAATCGCATGCTTTGGGGTACGTTGTGTTTTGACAGCTCTACACAGCCGCTAGCCCACTACCCCTCCCAGGCCGAAACAAGCTTCAAATGCTTGTACAACATGTAAAGCTTGCTAAATCTACTCCGCTGACTTTAGGAATAAGGTGGTGCCATCCACAAATGCTGAAGTGACGGTCTTGTTCATTTCTTACGTAAAATTATTCCTGTGAATCACAGTTCTCGAAATTGTTGTTTACTATAGCGATGCAAAGAACCACATGACATTACGGAATGCAGCGCCGTTTGAGCTGGGATCGTAACGGAATCAAAGCCTTGGTTACGTTTGAAGTAAGCTTAGATTTGCGCGATGATGCTTGTGAGCCATATCTCGAACTATTTGCAAGCATGAGGCAATGCTTCCGCATAATCGCAAAGAAGTTTTCCACAACTGCCTTCTCCGGTATTAACGTACGCTTGCGAATGCCTGGCACAACAGTGCCTTCCATACAAATTCCTTCAATGCCTCTTTCGTATCACTACAAATAATCAAATTCAGCGTCTTGGCACCTCACCCGCTTACCAGCGCTGACAGCATTGGACAATTGCTGTCTCGAATCTTACGGGGGGCATTGCCTCCTGAAAAGCTTCAAATAGTTCATTATCGGGTGAGAGAATGCCCATTACAGGCTTTCAATGTGCCATCACTTCCCGCCTGCACCGTAACAATACGTGTCAATGCTGTCGTGCAAACAACATGACTGACTGACGTATTCAACTTCCTCCCTTACCGTTGCCAAAATGTCCAATCTCAGCAGCAAAAACAACTTCGTGCGCATTACAGGCAGCTCTCCAAGCAAATGTCCGATCCAACGAGACGAATATCCTGGCCTGCCTTTACAGCCTTCTAGATGTTCACCGCCAGTTCTCTCCCCAACTCTTTGCTGTCCACTCCATGTGTCCTCGATCTTCACAACAACGTCAGTCTCGTCCGAAATGCGAGATCCCGTCGTGATGTACACCACCTGTCCAGGCTTTAATGCCCAAGTCGGCATTTCTCCCGCTGCAATGCGTTCTACCACAGAAAAATACATCCAATAAATGCCATTAATTCTTGTTGCAGTAACACTGCAACAACAACTTTGCAACAAAATGACGTGCAGGGCTGCTGGATTGTATTGCAATGCCCACACCTAGCATTTTTCGCATTCCATTCGTGCTGCAACCGATGCTTACACTACAATCTTACTATATAGAAGTCTACAAGAAAGCTGACTCATTATCGTCCTTAGTAGGCAAGTGTGGAGCTGGGAATTGGTGGCTTCCTTTCACACTTGACGTCCAGCAAATGTAAGTAAGTTGCCTGGAGGGGCGTTGATTTGCCAAGCACGAGATCTGCCTGCGCCAATTGCTCTCTTGCCTGACGTAACTCCTCCGTTAAAGCGTCGTACCGCTCATGGTTAAAATTCGACTTGGCTATTTGCTTCCGAAGACGTCGAGTGTAGACGTAGTCGTAGATATTCTCATACTCGTATTCCCGGTTCGTAATACTCCACCAAGCGAAGCCAATAATGGAGACGCCAAAGCCCGTAAAGTACGTCACAGGCTCCATGATGTCCCACGAAAAGTGAATGAACGACAGCCAAAAGTAAAGTCCAAAAACTCCAACAAGTGATGTTGACAACCCGTACGCAATGATATTTGCTTGTCGCGTCGCAGTGAGCTCTAGTTCTCGGCGCAAGTTGACGAGTGCCACATGTTCTGGTTCCAGCATCTGTATTTTCGCTAGTAGTGCCTCTCGCTGTTGCTGAAAGAGTTGTGACGACAGCGGTGAGAGTCCAATCGATTCCAAGTATGAGTCCAATATGCTGCGTGGCTGCAGAAACACCGAGTGGGTCAAATCTTCATCGTCTGACTTGCCAAAGTAAAACACGATTCCTGATTGGTGAAACGCCTGCAGCACCTCGGACGCCTGTTTCTTAGGGATGCCTCTTTCCTGACACATGTGCATAAACTCTGGATAGCTAATTGTCCACTTGCCCAGTCCTTCCAAGTCACTGCGGAGCATCACAATTGCAGCTTTTTGCACCACCGATCGGACATCCAGATTTCCATCATCAGCCAAACTCTGATACGCACATCCAGTGAACACAGGGGCTCGAACAGGCAGCACCTGATCGTTTAACAGCAGCTCAAAATCATCCGTCAGTACTTTTTGTAGCGTATCTTCAGGCTCAAACGGTTCGCCTTTAGCAGACCGAATGGCTACACTCTGTACTGATTTATCCTCCGCTTCAATCTGGGCGATAATATCTGCCACCGTCGTCTCTGATGCGGATAAAACCATATAAATGCATAAAAACGATAGTTTGAGTATAAAATCTATCGTAAAACCTTTGTAACTTAATAAAAACAATGACAAATTACCGAAAGGGATAGTAAAAACCCGCTCTTCGTCGAAACCATTTAGCGGGAGAGGGACTGCCAATGTACATGTCCCGTCGTGGTATTTAAGCTCAATAGCACGTGCTTTTCTGTATTGAAGCGGAGACGAGTTGAAAATGGAACGCGAAAGCTGCAAAGACGCTGCGGGGGAAAATGTCCGGTGCAAGAGTAAGCGGGCAGAAGCTGCGCCAGTGAGAAGACCACGGTGCCACATGGAGCAGAGTCTGAGATCGACTAATATAGTCAGACGACAATTTACCTCTTTGTTCTAATATTTATGTGGTACACCTGACTGTCTGTGTACTAAGTGTAGTGTGGTTTTAGCAAAGAAGAGCCAGTATTGTTTTCTACGACAGAAAAACTAGCCTGATCTGGTCCTACCTTAACTGTTGGCTTATCTGACATGTAGTTACTGACCGGCTAAAAGTAATACTGCCTAAACTGATAATTTGTCTTAACTGTGTGATGTTACTTGCTCCATGGGTACCACGTTAGGCAGGTTATTTTGTAAAGTTCGGTACACAATTATTTCAAAAACTTAAAAAAGGATCCTTTTATTTAAAAAATGGTTTAACGGAGAACGAAATTTTTATAGCCTGAAAAAGGTATCGATAAAATTTAGCGGCGGAAGACCTGAAGTATAATACGAATTTTGTTTTACTAATCAGGCAGTTCGAGTTTTATTGCTCCTGAATTTGCAAATCGCTCTCATATTACGGCTAAAAGCACTTCGTTTTCAAGAACCAATCATACAATTACCCGTTCTTAGGAAATAGGAGAGACTTCTCGTCAACAAGCTTTACAGCTTAAGGTCCAGAAAACCAAACGCACACAGTGCACTAGAGAACAAGCCTTATATAAAGTTTAACTATATAAATCAAACTGAGGACTAAGCTACATAACGCAATAAGATCTAAGAATAATTATGGTGGAGTGGATTCTCATACTACGTAAGAGATTAAACAACCTACACAGCACCGTACTGCTCATTTACGGAGGGGGTGCCCCGATACTGTGTCACATTAACCTTAGGTCTCACCTTGTGTACCCTTTCGGCTTGGTTAGTTTTGCTCCTCCTTAGACGGAGAAAAATTACTGACTTGGTCTTGTACAGACCGGGACTTGGGGGTCCACAATTAATGTGCTTCACTCGGGGCCGTGTTTCTTTTGCTTGATCGACTGAGTCGAGAGCGATGCACCTGGTACTGCGTACCTCTTTGGTGTCTAATGGATATATTGTACTGCATACCCCTTCTTTTTGTTCCCCGTAGAGAGGCCGCTCCCTGTAGCAATTTTTTTTATTCTTGACACCGCAATCCAAATATCTTGGGGTTCAACTTGCTTTGCTTAAACCGCCTAGCACCTGCCAAATTTTAGGGCCAACTGATACCCGCCCGAAATAGTGAGATGACGGTGAAGCTTAGAGGGGCGCTTAGAGCTACCACGTTCAATTAAAATTTGAGTGTGTTTATTAACTTGTCCTTTGTATGCTTTTCTTTCCTAATCCGACCCTTTCTTCAAAGTTTGCCACGTGTCGACTCTTGGAGGAAGATCTAACTTTGAGGCCCTGAACCTGTACTGTTTCTGTGCTGTCGAGACCTTGTACTTTCTGTGACCTTCCGGGCCATGGGGGCCCAAGACCTTGAAACCCTGGACCTTCGGGGCTAATAAAACCTTAGGACCTTAGACCTTAAGACCTTGTGAGGACCTGTCGTGGCCATTCCTTCGAAATAATGACCTAAATTTCATATTGCGCTTGTTATTATAATGCCTTCGAAGACCCTTGTTTCCCCTGGCACTTCTCCACAGCTGTCCCCTGCGCGCTGGTATTCCGAACTGCGGCAAGGTCCCGTGCATCCTTGTCCTGTCACCTTGGCGTAGCAGTAGATGTCTATGTACTAGATAGCTAGTTGTATCTACCAACTCAAAAATCTTTTATTCGCCACTAACAGATCCCAATTACTACGACGAGCCCGAGTACCTGACAGATGGCCTTTCTCCACACTGCCTAGACCTCAACTTGACTTGGTCGCTCCGACTGTAGACCTCATTGTGGAGCCTAATGGTTATACGAGGGTCCTTCAGTCCTGGGAGGTTGTACGCCTGGTGGTGGAGCGGAAGTAGGCTCTGTAGACCCTCGCTGAACATCATAGGATCCTTTAACGGACCATCACTGCGCCGAATATCTACAGAGCCGCGTGGACGACATCGTCCAGCTTGAGGATGTCTATGCGCACCGTATACATGTTAAACGCCTGATCTATGAACATAAAATGGACCATAAAATCATTGCTGAGTATCGAGACGTGCTCACCAAACGAAGGGAAACTTTTTTAGGTTGAGGGTTCTGGTCCTAGAGTGAATAGTATGATGAGACTTTGAGGAGCTTCACAATCGAGATCAAGACACTGAAGGTATAGTTAGGAGCGCTTAGTAGCTCTCAAGACTCTTAATCAAGTATCGCAGCTCCAAAAAATATGACCTGCTTAAAGGACAGTGTAAAGAAACTCATCAGAGGGCGAAATGAGCTCCAGAAACAGATGACGGTATCCCAGGGTGCTGCGAATAAATCTTGCCCGTCTATGGACAGGTAAAAAAAAGACTAAGAGATCGCGATTGCCCTCTGCCAAGGTTTGGGCTCTCTCCAAGACGAAGAAAAACATAACCACTCGTCTCTCTAGGTTATTAGAGCCGAGGTCAGTAACAGCGACGAACCTTTGCTAGCCGCGATGCTTAAATTTCAAGCCATCCGTCGTTGTTCTATCACGGCGGCTTGTAGAAAGAAATCTAATCCAGAAATTATAGACTTGTCCAAGAAGTCCAAGTCTGGCCTCCCTCGGGGTCAGTATAGCCATGCCAAGCCAAGCACTTTTAAGAATTATGACGTCGCCTCATGGCTAGTTTATAAGTTAACGCCCCTTGTAACTATGAGGCCAACTGTCTAAGACCTTTAATCCGATGTGACACTTCCGACCTCGTGAATGGGCCTCAGAGGTTTAAAGGGCCCGTAGCCCTCCCCCCGTTATAGGTAAAGGTATTTCGACGAAACCTCTACTCCAGCGCCTGATGAGCTCGGATCCCTGGGACCACAGGATCGTGCCTACGGATATACTCTCCTTCTCGTTTACCAGTAGTTCGTCGATATGGAGATCCACGACGCCTATGTCGACGCATCGCGCCAGAGCTTGTAGGAATTCGGTGCCGTCTCCTTTTTATGTGACACTCCACACGACAAGCAAGTAATGCTTCTCGGCTTTTCGGTGCTAGAAAGAAGTGGTGTTCCAAGCAACGAATCCCTTGGATGCAGGTATTGAAGAATGTCCTGCAAGAAATGGTGTGACCTGGACATACTGCTGAATCCCTTCTGCCAACATGTGACTTCAACTCACAACTGAACGCTTGGTACCCGCTTGTCGACTGTGGGGATCCTCAGGCGGGTTTGGTAAAGGTGTTGCAGTTTAGCGGACGACGCTGAACCTTAACGCATTTTTTATCGAAAGCGCATTTAAAAACACTCCGCCTTTGAGATATCTCGTTCTCCTCGAAAGTATTGTTCCACCGAAAGTTGCTGAGGTTTATTTTTTGTAAAGGGATAAGGGACCGTTATCGTCTGCACTAAAAGAGCGTTGAGGATGCGCTCTTATTTAAATCGTATATATAACTTTGTTTTGTAATTGTTTTAATTCGGAAAGTTGCCTTGCATTGTGGGGTAGGAATAGGCTTGTAACTCGTCCTTTTAAATCGCGCAAAAAACATTTCAATAAGATACTGTTGTGAAATTTAAATCGTACACCCTAACATGTATGCTAAACTATCCTCGTCGGTTGTCCCCAAAAGATAAGGGCAGTACAAAAAAGTTTATTATAATCCAAAGCGTAATTTTTTTCGATCTTTCCACACGTTAATGCCATTTCTGCTGATAAGCTGCTCCAATTGCCCCGTAGGTATGTTTCAAATCGCGTATCCCCATCATTTCATCTTCGGCAGCCAAAATTTGCTCGTACCATATCCGTTGAGCCACTTCCTTATGTAAACTTCTGTCGACATCCTGGCTAGGGCCCGAGACTCGTCACAGCTACGACTCGCAGTGCAAGGCTTTGGTTTTTTAGTATAAAGATCTCGGTCAGAATGGCAATCGCTTCGAGGCCCTTCCACTCTTCTTCAAGTACATAATCGACACCTTGTTGCTGATAAAAGGCTGCGTTAGCGAGTTGTCTTTCACTCTAGTTTCATTTACGCTTCATGTGAGGGAATTCATGGACGGGCCAAGACGTAATTATGTCGATGGCCTTCGATCTTCGCGCCGTTTAAATCGATGTCTTATACTCGCCTTCCCCTCACATCCGTCAAATGATCAAATTGGAGTCTCCACACACAGATAGAAGCCCAAATCAGCGCAATTTGCCTGCCAGCAGACGTTTACGTATGCATCGAACACTAAAATTACCTCATGACTAAATATTTTAGCACTGCCTTACAGGCTTTACCGGCGTACATCTAGTACCCAGGTAGACACGAAGTCCCACTTCTTATAACTATAGCTAGAATAGGAATGCACAAAGTTATTTAGTGCAAATTTAATAATATCATCGACAACGCGATTAACGCGTTCAGTATGAACATCGGTCTGCGGATGGTCCACTGTGAATGTTTCCAATCGGATGCCAAGAACCAGATAGATGGACCTCAACAACTTTTATGTGAATCCAGGATCACGGTCGACAACCATTGTCACAGGCAAGCTATGTTGATATTACACTCAAAAGATAAAAAGCTCTGCTGTACCTTCACTATCAATCGAGTCCGGCACAGCCACCGAGTGAGTTTGATGCTGTTTACGATCTGAATCATCTGATCAATCTTCATATACAAATCCTCGGTCTGTGATCTCATTAATCTGCTTCTAGTCAAAAACTTTACTGGTGGTGGTAATCTGTTCACCACGACATACCAAGCCATAGGTCTTTTCACGACCTTAATGACCACTGATAACGGTGTTATGTGACATAAAAAGATTACTATCTGTACCAGATTAAACAAAAGCTTGTATTTTTCTAAATTGAGCTACTTTTACATATTTGAGGTCCTCATCATGAGGAGCCACAATGCGCGGTGGCTCCGCCGCATTTCTATAATGATACAAAAACCCTCATTGATGAAAAATTGACGAAGCACGCACAGAATCGTGTTATTTATTTATTGTCCGACTTGTCC